CAGAGGCATCTGGGAATTAGTTGGTATAAATCTCCCCTATTATCAAATTTCCCTGTGGCCTTCACAACCACTAGAAACCTCTCTATCTATAGAAAAGCTTATGGACAGCTGCCAGTAGATGATGCCTGGAAATCAGGAATGGGACAGCTGGTGTTTGACCTTGCTTCACATGACCCTGATTTATAAAAAAAACTGGAAATCTCTGGGCTCCTATGACTCCACTGGGAATCACCCTTTCCAGCCCTGCGGAACAGCCTTCTCAACAAGATCTATAAGCCACAAGTGAAATTTTCCATGTCCCCTGGTGCCTTCTCCTGGCTAGCCATTGAATCATACCCCCAGTGGGAGTTTCAAAGATGTTCATTGGTGGTGATTGATTTTTTTTTCAAAACTGTCGTTGGAGCCCTAGAATAAGCCATGTAATTGCAGCCTGAGAAAATCTAGCTAATAACCATGCAACAGATCCAGAAAATTACACGCATAGTGAGACTTAAAAATCTCGGTATATCGCCTGAATGGCACGGGAGTTTTCAGAGGAGCATCAATAATTAAAATAATAGATTATTAAAATAATAATATAATAATATAAAAATAATAAATAAAATAAAAATAAAGTAAAAAATACACTATATTGACTAAAATTTGGAGGAAAATAGTGAGTTATATAGGAACTCCCCAAAGCTTTACTCTAGGGCTAAGAACCAAACAAAAAAATTCTAACTCCCCTTTGTTTTCTTTACCCCCTGCTGTGGCCTGTCTCAACCTAGCAAAAGTTGCTCAGAAAAAATTAACACTTGGCACTAATTTCCAGAATTTCTGGGTCTTCCAGTAGAGGGAAGTATTGTTTCATTTCCTTTGGCTTTGAAAGGCTTTGCCACGGGAAATAAGACAAAGGTACAGAGAGATCAATAACATACAAAGAAGGAGATAGAAATGATCACTTAGACCTTAGTCCTGCAGGAGCAGGCACTCAAAATAAAAGAATGCATGAAAGCTGCAGGATCAGTCCCAACATCACTTAATATGCATGTGAAGGACACAGAAACTGTCCCAAACAAAAGTTGTGCAATGGAAGTTAAAAGTACAAATTAAACTTTTGTTTGTGCTATTATAAGGGCTTTCCTGGATGATAGTCTGTAGCCTAAGCTTTTGCTTGTTTCCTTACTGCTTTTATGTCCTGTCAGCTTTAATTATCCAAGGAAAAGTGGGGCTGGAAGACCTGAGTAATACAGGTACTATGGCTTCCCAAGGCAACTCTACATAAAGCCAGCTTGGATTTCTGCATGATGCTGCTAGGTGAACTCATTCATGGAGGGCTTCCATGTTATTGTATGCTGTCCTGTGGGTACTGGAAACTATCTCAGGTGGGATCGGAGTCATTGGTCCTGAGATCCCAAAGCAGGAAGCAGGAGGGAGCCAGGTACAGGGGTGCAGAACCTGCTCAGGGGTTCCGGCTCCTGGTGCTGTGCCCTGGGGCTGCGGACATGATACTTCCAGCTGGCTCAGTGGGAGCAGAGCTGTGCCTGACCCAAATAAAACTGATTTGTGTACCTCAGCCAAACTAAAAATATTAGGACCAGAGTATAGACTCAGAGGTGGTCTTTAATTGTTCACACACTCCTTGTTGTGATTTTCCCCTGTGCCAATTAATTCTCCTGCAGATCAAGGTAGATAGGGACAATTTGGAGAGCTGGAGGCAGCACGAACATCATCATCACAGTTTGGGTTGAAAGCAAATTTGTAAATATGGACATGATCTACATGGTATTGCGACAGACACACTGCCCAAGTAGAGACAGCTTTGTTATTTCTGTCCTGTGAGGTGTTATCTGCAGAGGAAGTAATCTGCTGGCTGGTGAGCGAGAACTGACTGAACAGATTGTGCTGCTGAGGGTAAGCCTGGTTGCAGAGCCACTCTGCATGACTGCACCCTATGTGGCTTCGCCTTTTCAGGTGCTGGTATCAATGTGAGCCCCAGCAGCACAGGGGCTGAATTCCTCAGGGATCCCTTATTCGGCTGCCCCATCTGCATGCGTCCTAGTATCCTCTCCAAACTTGCCCTGAGATGCAGCCCATAGATATTCTCAGAGGTACCTCTGAGACTGAATCCTCTCTCTTGTGGAACAAATGGGATGATCCTGCTTTGGTTCTGAATAACTTCTCCCAGCATTATGGATACTGTGATGAGCTTAGCCTGAGTTCCTTAGCAATTCAGTGACATTTGCAATTTTTTTTTTTTTCTGGAAAATTGAGTGCTGCAATTTTCCCAATGAAGGCAGAGACAGGATTTTAGTGCGCTCGAATATGGTTGCTTCATGCTCTGCTATCTTTCTTAGTACTGATGGCAGAAGTAATTAAATCTATAATGAATGAAATTTTGTAGTTATAGACCATCACAACTATGTTTTATTTTCTACCTATAGATACCATCTAAAGTTGTTCTACTTTTTTTTCCTTTTTCTTAAAATCAATCAGACAAAAGTTTTCTTCTCCCTACAGAGTCAAGACAGATGAACCTGCTCCCTCCAAATTCAAAGGTATATTAGCCTAAGGACTGGCCTGGCATTTCCTCAATTATAATTGGGGAAAACACTTTTTTCCCCATCTAGAATCTGTCATGGGAAATTTGTCATTTTAAAGTCATCTTTGTTTCTGCCTGATGCCTCAAGAATTATGTGAAATTATTCTGGATGCAACAGCTCATAGAGGCTTCCTCAAAACATGAGTCAAAGGGTTGGACAGAGAGCACCCAACTACCCCCTGCAAGGTGGCACAGAGCGGCAGTGACTGTGTATAATCTGTCACCATGCTCGGCTCTTATTCAATCAGTTTGAGGGTGATGTTTTAAGAAGCGGGAGTGGGTATGGCACTCTGTTAGTGGTAGTTGTAAGGATTAGTATGTCATGCTCTGCAGAAACTCAAGAACTTGTTACACTCTTTACACAGGCATAAGCAATCAGGAAACAGCAATATGGAGATTATTCCAAAATGCAGATTTTTCTTGTGGTCATTGTGAGTTACTGCTTGCAGTACTGTTTGACATTGCCAGAAATGTCAAAGAGAAATTTTCTTTCCTCATACAAACCTCAAATGCAAGCAGAAGCAATTTTGCTGGTTACAATAGACAGATTAACTCAGAGAACAGGTACCAGTCAATTTGTTTTAGCATCACCTTTACTCATAACCTGAAAGTTAAAGGCTATCAGGTGGCTGCCTTCAGTGACCCTTCATATGATGATGGATGGGCATGTGTTCACTGGAGAAAGGACTTCAGCATTTGAAATATCACTCACCCTCTGTGATATTACTGTCCTTTGTTGGAAATGCAGCCCCCATGGCAGAGCCACTGGAAGGGACATGTGAGTGCTCATCCAGAATTTCAGAGCACAGTCTGCCTGCTGGGTTGAAGTCACTTGGTCGAGCTCTGGAAAGGATGTCTGGGCACTTCTGGGTGCAGCACCGAGGCAGGTGATGCTGATGGCCAGCAAGCAGGCGTGTTGCTAGGTTCACTTCTCTCCCCTCTTATGGTAAGATTTAATGTCTGACTATTAGCAGTTTTTGTTAATGCTGAAAACTTTTGTCAGAGATATGTGGCTGGATGATTCTTCCAGGCAGAAGTGTCAGCAGGATTATTCACAGGCACTGGTCAGGGCAAGTGTCTGGCTGTTTCTGATTCCTTTGACTAAGGGCTGCTGCTGGGGCTAGCAGTTCATGTGGAACTCTCACAGTTCATGCCAGTGAGCAGTGCCAATTAGGAAAGGGCATTTAACACAAAAAGAAGATCTAATCACTGTCTAATAAACAAAGACATCTTGCCTTGTGTCAACAATATGCCGGGCACATGGCTACAACTTCCTCCAACCCTGTGATCTCTGTGATATGCAACTTTGTCCAACAGTGTTTAAAATAGCCACCCACGTAGTCTGGCTGTTTTAAAAGTGACATTGTTCTAGGCTGAGGTTCATCAGTGTGATGACAGACACTGGAAAAGAAAATGCAAAATACAACTCCTTATATTGCATAAATCTCAAGACTGGATTCTTGATGTTTTGCTGTCAGGTTGCACCCCTGCTTTCCTTCTGCCAATCCTACATAAGGATGTAACTATGGACAGATATGACAGAGGGACAAAATTTCAGCTATTACTACTACTACTACTACTTCAACTTTACATATTTGGTTTCTGACTGGGATTTACCTCATTGAGGTTAAAATCTATTTGAGCTTTGGATGCAACCGAGCAGAATGCTTTCAAAGGACATGTTAATATTATCAGTATGTCAGTGGAAACTGAATCCAAATGTATCATTTCACATTCAACTCAACTCTCCGTGTGCAGAATAAATGTAAATATAAGTGATTTTAACCCAGATGTTAGAAATATTGTACATTTGTCAGGTGCTTGGCATATCACATTTTGTGTTCCTGGTTTCAGTGAAAATCAGAAAACAGTGACACACCAGAAAAAAGCCTAGCAGATTATGCTGTAATTGATATTTTATACAGAGATGACAGCTGTGATGGAATAAACCACAAGCTTAGAGTTAACCTGTATTAGTGCTTGCATAATATATGTATGTAATACATATGTAATGGTATATTTAATATATGAAGATCCTTAAAACAGAAGAAGGGAAATTATTTCAGGAACATATTGAATATGTTTCTTCTTTTGTTTTGATTGCCACTTGTCTTTGGGTGCATGTGAATCTTTCTACTTGCTTTTACTGGAGTAACTTCATGCCAGCCAGTACTAGATATATGTTGTATCAAAACTGCATACCTTAGAAGAGATGATCTAACTCTTCAGGGCAAACAGTTATCTTCATATTTACTGATTGCTGTGCATTCTCACAGGAAGACACTGTATTTTTATGAATACTTTTGTTATTTACTTAGTTCTGGAGGGTTTTGGTCGGATGGTGGGTTTCTCACAAACTATTTCTCATCACTTGTTTCAGCCCCAAGTGACCAGTAATTCATCCAATAGATGGTGTGTTGGCCAGCTCCATCTCATGGGATGGTGTCTTTTGCTGGGGATCTGAAACTTTCCATGAAGGCTTGAATGAGTCCCTCGGGGATTGGACCTTTCAGCAAACATGTAAGTGTTGCTATAGTGATGTGTGTTTGTGTATTATCTGTCGCAGATTGCATGTCTCTCCAGAGCAGCAGCAATCATTCTGATGAATTCATTTACACATTGATGCTTTTCAGGTCATCCCTTGCACGAGAATTGTCATGAGTAAAGTTCTTCTGTGTTCAGAAATGAGGAGAGCAAAACACATGGGTGATACTTAAGAAGATGTTGTAGAAAAGTTAGTATTTTCCTACTTCCTCACCTTCTGCACTCCAACTGAAGAAGAGATGTTTTCATATCTCCAGTCTGAAGTGAGGGTCAGATAGTGAAAGCCATCATTCCAGTGAATGTTTGTCCCTTGTCTTCTGTTCACCACTTTCAACATGGCTATGTAACAACATTGAATGTTCTGGTAAATATACCAGTAATAAAAAAATAAAAAAAAGTTTTTCTTCACTGTTCCTTAAGGGGATAGATATAACTAGTGTTTTTTAAATCCCTGGTGATTTTTACAATACATGCTGAAATACAGTGTTTAGATAGCTGTGGTAACTGTCATAGACCTCCAGTGTGGACATTAGCAAATATCGAGGCATGAAGATATAGAGAATATAAGAATCAAAGGAGATGAAGAAGTAGTTTCTAATGCTCAGATGAAGACACAGCATGTAGAAACATCACAGGTCTTCTTCACGTGCTGAACATTGTATCTTAGAGGCTAAAAGGGTCTCTCTCTCCTTTCCACTCTAAGTAATAATGTTTAAGAACTCTGAAGTTGTCTCCATTTGACTCACCCTTGCAGTTTTTCTCTCCAGGCAGGTTTGCAGGAAAACTATTTTTAGCTTTTGGGAGGGGAATCTGGAGTACAAGCAAGTTTTAGTTGGAGCTCCCAGGGAGATAAAACTGTTCCTGGGAGCTGCTGCTGAGGCTGGAGTGTGTTACATAGCCTTCTGTGGCAGGCAGGGTGGGCTTGGAAATTTGAAGTGACCTGCTGTAGTGAGTTGACCCTGGCTGGATGCTAGGTACTCACTAAAGCTGCTGTCTCACTCCCCTCTGGAATTTGACAGAGGAGAGAAAATATAATGAAAGGTTCATGAGCTGAGATAAGGACTCAGACAGATCACTTACCGATCACTGTCATGGGAAAATAGACTCAAAGTGGGGTTGTTAATTAAATCTATTACTAACAGAATCAGAGCAGGAGAATGAGAAGTAAAATAAAACTTAGAAACACCTTCCCTCCACCACTCCCTCCTTCCAAGCTTTACCTCCTCCCCCCCAGCGGCACAGGGGGATGGGGAATGGGGGTTACAGTCAGTTGTTGTTTCTGGCGCTGCTCAGGGAGAGGAGTCCTTCCCCTGCTTCCCATGGGGTCCCTCCCATGGGGGACAGTCCTCCATGAACTTCTACAGTGTGAGTCCATCCCACAGGAAACAGTTCTTCACAAACTACTGCAATGTGGGTCAGTTTTCCACGGGATGCAATCCTTTAGGAACAGGCAGTTCCAGCGTGGGCCCCTCAAAGGGCCACAAGTCCTGCCAGGAAAACCTGCTCCAGCGTGGGCTCCTCTCCCCATGGATCAGCGGGTCCCTGCCAGGACCCTGCTCCATCACGGATCTACCAGGGGGTCACAGCCTCCTTCGGGCATCCATCAGCTCCAGCATGGGCTCCTCCAAAGGCTGCAGGTGGATATCTGCACCCTGGTTATCCTCCATGAACTGCAGGGGCACAGCTGCCTCACCATGGTCTGCACCATGGGCTGCAGGGGAACCTCAGTTCTAGTGCCTGGAGCATCTCCTCCCCCTCCTTCTCGACCTTGATGTCTGCATTGTTGTTCACATGTTCTCATTCTGCTCTTCTCTGGTTGCAATTTTCATCTGCAAAATAACTTTTTCCCCCCCCTTTTTAAATATGTTACCACAGAGGCATTACTGTCATTCCTGATTGGCTCAGCCTTGGACAGTAGTGGGTTCATCCTGGAGCCGGCTGGCATTGGATGTGCCAGACATGGGGGAAACTTCTGGCAGCTTCTCACAGAAGCCACCCCCGTAGCTCCCCCCACTACAAAAACCTGGACATGCAAACCTGGTACACCTGCTACTGCTTTCAAATGCTTGTGTACAACTTCATTTTCTTGTGTCCAACAGGGCAAAAAAGTAGCCTGTCTCACTGACTGCTGATTAAAGAACAGAAAGTGCTATACCTGGCTCCATAGTGCCAGAAGGCAATGCTCAGCAAGCCCTGTGGGCCCTCTGCCCCTAGGATTCACACTTTATTGCTATATAAAATTTATTGCCCATACACTGCTCAGTTCATATTATTCAATGATTGTGGGGCATAATGGTTAATAGAAAAACTGAAAGTGAAATAAAAAAAAAAGATCTCCAGTGTGACTGTAGGAGACTTATTCTCATTCTAGCCATTTGCTTCCTGGTGTTTACAGGGTAACCAATCAAAAGGTATTGTAAAAAACTTGTTCACATGTGCACACGGCTGTGAAGTTTTTCTCTGATTTGGCATTGAATCTGGAAGATGCTGGGTAAGGACTTTGGCACTTAGTTGACTCCAGTGTTTTAGCAAAAATAACCTGTCCCTTGTGGTGGTTGTACTTCAGAGTGCCTGGAGTACAGATTGAAGTAGTGTTAACTGCACACTCCCAACTTCTGAAGTTAAGGATGTGATCCTTTTGCTGCTGGTGGCACAGTGTCTATGGGAAGGAAATGGATTTAGTCCCATCCAGAGGATATTGGTGATACCTTTTTTTTATTTTACAGGAATGCTGAACTTGTTCTTGTCTTTCTTTTGTACCTGAAGCCAGGTAAAATATTCTCATTTAACCAAAATGTCAGTTCATGGCTCTGGCAGTGTATATGACTGTATATAAGAAAATAAGTTATTCCTGACTAGGTTGTCTGAGTCACCCCACCATGAATGCTGTTAGTCTGAATGCAATTCGATGTATTTCACACAGTACTATGAAGCCTTGGGCATTGGAGACAATTCCAGGGAAACTTGCTTTCTGAGTAATCTTGTCTTTGATTTCTCAATAGCTTCTAGGAGCACAGCTGCTTTAATTGCCAGCTGTTTTAGCCACACATTATGCGGATGTTTGCCCAGTTTGTTATGGGTGAGGCTAGTAGCAGTATTCCATGTCTTGCATATTCTTAATGAGCAATACCAGGAACAACCACATTTCCTGCAACAACCTAATCTGACATCAGATTTCCTGGAGAAAATAATGGGTAAATAATTTTCTGTTGAGCTTGTATTTGCCCAGTTACTAATGGTGTAATGAAGGGGTAATTAATATGTTTGTTTTCTTTGAGGCTAGATTGAAAAAAGGGCTAAATGACATTTTGCAGAAGGTTTATAAGAACTGTAGAGTGCAAAAGCATTATTAAGAGCAAAGGAGTGCATTAGGAGAGCTCAGTCACCATCAGAAGATTTATATCAGTTAGTTGGAGGTTTCAGATAGATGTAAGTTTTATCACTCTGTAGCTGAAGGAGGGAAACAGGTGGCTCCTAACCCCTGCAATGGGGCTTTGAGGACATAAATAAAGCATCTATTTCTGTACACTAGTGATGTATTAGGCTGAAGTATCTCTGAATGGTGAGGAGGTGTTACAAAGTCAAGGGGATACCACCAAGTGACCTGTAGGAAACAGTAAATAAGGTAGGGTATAAAAAAGGTGTCTGCCTCAGCAGCTGCTTCTTCCTGGGGAAGTTCAGCAGTGTTTTGTGCCAGGCCCTCCAACTTTGCTCAGGATGGACCAATTTAAAGGTGGGGATTCGAAGAAGAAATGTCAGTCTTAGTGTGAGCACTTGTATTAGTTCATGCACGTGGAGCCGTTTGTTGGGTTAGTCTGACTGTGGCAATCTGGAAACTGGGTCAATTGCTTGCACTGCTAGTGAAGAAGCTAAACCCAGCCATCTTGGAAAGAAAGAGGGGGAAGGGTTGGCTGGTCTGTGGTGGAAGAGGTAGAAGTTTCACCTCAGTCAGAGAGTGAAAAGGAGGCTGATGCTGATGGCATGCATCCATTGCTTCCTGCCATCGGCAAGCTTCCCCCTGAGAGGAGGTACAGACCCTCCTTTTGGGAATAAAAAGCTAGGTAATAATTTATGTGTAGACAATCTGGTACTGAGGAGAGGGTAACTTTTCGAAACCTTAAGATAAATGAGCCAGGAGAGGTGTGTGATACCTGTAAAGCTGAATGAATGCTCTAAATACTTTCCATTTGAGTGTGTGGAATTTGAAACATCCACTTCAAAGTGTTCTGCAGAGCTGTAGCCAAGCAGGCATCCTTTTATTTTTAGTTTTGCTTTTGTTTCGTGATAGACACCTTCTGTTTCACTGTTAATAACAGCATAAGGCCTCCTTCTCATTTTATGTATCAAAATTAGGACAGTGTATTGATTTCCAAAGCTATTTATCAGTATGTGATGCACTGGGTTTAGAACTTGGCTTAAGTGGTGGGCAAGGGGAGTAGGCTCCACATGATGTATGTCCTTTCAATGTTAATGCTTTGCTGATGAAGGCAGCAGCTCTGCAGCACGGTGAATGCCCCCAGCACCTTTTTGTGCAGAGGGTACTGAGGTATCAGTGATGTATTCTGCACAGCTGGAAACATCTTTTCCACACTTTAATGGTTGTAAGACCAGTCAGCACATAATTTTTTTTTAATTTTGACTTCACTAGAAGTCTGAAACAAGCAGCTCAAGCTGGTGTTGTTACTTTCAAACACTAGCCTAAGACTGCTATCTAACAAGGGTATGGAATAGGAGGTTACTTGAGATCCCTTCCAGCTTCACATATCTCACACTCTTAAGGAAACTGTCTTTATCACCCAGGCTCAACACAAGCTTTAACGTGTTTGCAGTCTGTGATGATTTAATTAACTAAAACTAATTTTTTTTTCCCCCAGGATTCTACTAGACAGCACAATATACTGTGGAAATATTGACAGGCTTGCCACTGCAGCACAGAGACCAAGCTTCACAAAAGGAAACTGTGACCTCAAGCTCACCCTGGACCCCCAGCCAAAGCACTGAGGCTGTCTGGGCTAGGTGTCAGTGGGCTGTGTCTTCCCCATTGCCAGGTGGAGGCTGGGAACTGCAAGCCCCTCGAGCCCACAGCACCTTGCCAGGCAGAGTAATGGAAAACCAGGCAGGTTTCCTCTCAGGTTTGACTGGGCTCTGCCAGAATTTTGTTGCAATAACATATTTTCAGTAAAACTTACATTGAAATTTGAAGTCAAATAAATGGAAATTTTCCACCTAGAGCACCAACTAGATCTCTTTGTAATTAATTGCTGACTAGCTTTAATTACTATTATGTTGGCCATTGAGGACCAGCCAAGCACCTCAGGGTTTACTGAAAATTAACACCAAACCCAGCTGTTCTGACTTGCTTACTGCTGCCCCTCTTTTAGACAGAGGTTATTGAATATAATCTTTGATTATTTATGGACTAGAGAGGACTTCGCCCCCTAGTGAGTGTCCCTTGTTCTGCCCCTTTCCAGAGCTGAAATATTCATTACTTCTGGTTTGTTTTTTTTTTTAACTCCTATATCACTTCTGGCATTCTTGTCACATCCATTTAATGGCGGATCCCTTTGACCACTAAAATTTCTAATACATTTTTGTTGTTTTTTTCTTGTCCTTGCAGACATACCTTTTACTTTTAACTCCACTCATTCACTTACAACAATTGTAATTGTTTAATTAAAACACCCTCCTGCCACTAGAAATTTATACCTCAAGCACCATCGAGACAGAGCAAAGCTGATGCTGCAAGGAATTAAGGATGCCTAACTACAAGGGAAGGAGAAAATCAGGGCAGATGATTCTGTCATAGTTGTTGATCATGCATCTGAGTCTGCAGTGCCTCCCTCATGAGTTGGCAGGTTGCAAATGCTGGCTGGCCCCTGTTTCTCCCATGAGCTCATCGGTGATGGAGGTATGTGTAGACCAGTATATTCTGAGCTGTGATTATACACCAGACAAGTATGTAACAGCAGGAAAACCCACAGCTGCAATCATAGGAAGTATTTATACAGAGCAGTACCATCTGGTGCGTGCTCCTATACTATACTTAGTGATATACTATATTTACTTCTATAGTACACTTAGTGACTATACTTAGTTGCTATACTGTGTATCCCAGTTAATCCAAAGACATTCAGTTTCTCATAGATAACCCCACTTTTAAGAGCAGCCATTCTTTACCTGGTGATGTCTATGCAGCTCCATGAATAGATACAGAACAGGGAATGTGAAAGGGTTATTATATGAAGGAGCTGCCATCCTGCTCATCTGCAGATACATGGATACACAGATTTCTCTCTTAAAAGGGAATGCAGTTATAGCGATGCCTTTGTTAAGGCTACCACCTCAACTCTTCTTTATTTTCAAAAAAAAATTCCTTCTCCTGCTAGCCTAAAACAGAATAAAAAAAACTACAGTCTTTGAAAAATTAATTTATTATACATCCACAGATGGTTTTGTAATAAAAATCCTCACCAGGCCTATTGTCAACAATACAAAATGAATAAGAAACTCCAACATCCACCATTTGCAGAAGTGCTAATAAGTTAGTGAGCAATAGTGCCCTTACTTTCAGTGTGCACTGTAGCTGCATGTCACTGTGACCAATGTATTTTAACTTGAAAACTTGACATTTTACAACCTCTCTACCTCTGTTTTGGACACTGACAGTTTTGTACCATAAAAATGCAGTAAGTTATGCCATTGTTCCATAGTTCTTCTGTTATTTTTCTTGAGGTCATCTGTGTTTTCGGTGGGCTACATGAATTCCTAAGTCTCTACATGCAGTTGCAGTCATGATCCGTGCTTTGATGCAAAGATGCAGTTACAATTTCATACACATAACTCTCAGTAATGGTATCAGGAAGAAAGGTGTGGTGTTGTGTTACTATTAACTCCAGTCCATGTTAAAGGCCTCTTCAGTAATAAAGCAGCATTATTTTTATTAGTTTGCTTAAAACGGAGGTAAATATTATTGGCACATTTTTCTTCAAAAATGCAAAGCCAGACTTAGCATTCACGAGGAAGTGTTTCCTAGTATATTAAGTATACAGTACTCAAGTGAGCATACAATACTGCCCAGAAAGGTAGCATTTGGCATGGATATGTTTTTTCAGTTAATCTGTGAGTATACACACATTTATACGTACACACACACATGGATTTTTGTGCGAAGCCAAGGAGGGAGCAGAGACAACTTCCAAGGGCCTCATAGCCTTCTGAGTTCACAGGTGTGTACTCAACAGATTTCGAAGTTGGAGAATGAAAACTCCAATTACATGAGCCTGGACTTATGTAAGCATGATAAAACCAAGTCTCGCCTTCCCCCTCATTCCCTGTGCTAAGGAGTTAATGTGACCTCTCTGACTACTTTTCCCTGGTGTGTACAGAGAGCATATGTAGTGAATAGCCCACAGCACAGCCCAAAACATGGTCTGAATGTTAATTAAGCATCCATATAACACAGAACATAACTTTTTTTTTTTCTGACTTGTGCAGCTGCATAGCACGATACACTTGAGATTGTCAGTAATGTGGTTTCCTTTGCATACCTTAATTACATATGACGTTGCTGAATGCTAGTGTATACCTAGGCAAGCTAAGGTACAGCAATCTAGCCAGTTATCCAAATTTTTGATCTACAATGGCAATACAGAACTTTAAGTAACATATTAAAAATTCTTCAGAGGAAAACATCTTGAAATTTATTGTAACATAAGTAGTATACACCTGAATGTGTTTTTACACAGGTAACAGTTAGGTGACTTGCTACAGGTATGTTTTATACAATGGTGAATAAAAATGAACCTTTTACAAACCCACCAATTCAATATGTTTTCTTCAAAACAATATTAAGTGTGTGGCTATGAAAACAAAGTGACACATAAAAAAATTTCAAAAATCCTTTACCACAGGTTAATATTTTTATGACTGGAGGAAAAAAAATTATGTACATAAATACATATATTTTTATATATAGCAAATTACAGTTTCCTGCACTGAACATTTATCAAATATACAAGTACTGAACAATACTGGATAGGGTGCTTTGCCACACCCTGTGGTCTCTTTAAATTCCTGTGAGAGTGGAAGACAAGTTTCTACAGAGGATGCAACTTGTTCAGTGATGCAAGCTCACACAACAATTAAAAAAGTAAAGACAAAAAAAACCTACAGCAGAAATGTCTGATGTTCCCAGCACAGGCATCTTTAACAACAAAATGAAAATGTTCAACTGTTCTTCAAGCACGTGTTCCAACACAGGATCTGTGTCAGAGGGCTTTATTCCATACGACGAACCATCACCTGCCAATGGTGATGCATTTGGACAACAAATCTAATGCTCAGCCTTGTCCACTGGCTTGTCAAAGCCATCATGTTTCTGATAGGCAGATTGGTCTATGAGGCAGTGAGGAGTCACCTTTCAGATCCCCTACAGAAACTGTACCCTTTCTCTTGGACCTGGGCAGCCACTCCCATGAGCTTCAGATCGAGAACAAGGCACTATCTGGTTTTCTGGCCATTACCTTTCCAAAGTTCTAGGAACTGTCATTATGATCATGACGTGAGATTTTGAAAGGGGTGACACCAAGCTATTTTTGAGGACTATGTACAAAGTTATTTTGGTAATGAAAATAAGAAGCATTCACACCACACATTTCATTTCACCTGGCCAGAAATGCTAAGCTCAGGTTTCTAACGCATAAATAATGATCCTTATTGAAAAGGATGACATAGACTCCATTGGGTTCTTGTGACCTTACCAGAAACTGTTTTCAAAGTAGTGCAGTTACTAGCCAGGAATAACAATCCCCTTTAGATGTTTTTCGGAGCACATAATACAAATATTTATGTTATAAAAAGCACTTGGTTGTCTCCACAGGTTAGTGATGTCTGGAACTTGGGGGATTGTAAATCCAGTCCATTACAATAAGAGTCATACTCACAATCATGAAGATTATGCCAACTATGAGAAAGATCAGAGCCTGCAATTTGAAAATAAAATTTTATTAATAAAACAAGTGACTGAGCAGGCTGTAGCTCACAGACTGTCCCACTGGAGCCACATTTATATAACACCCAGGGCCTGAGTTTGGGTCATTTTCTGTGACTAAAACCCAAGTAATGTCATACAGGGCTACATGAATCAGAGTCAATCCTGTGTAAATTTCAGTCCAAGAGACTCAGGCTTTACAAGGCTAGATCTGAAGACAACCCATGTTGTTACTGTGAACAATAATACAGAACGTAACACAGGAACAGCTTTTTTTTCTTTAAAAATTGATGAATTTTCAATAAATGACCATAGTCTCTGACGTTAAGAACAGCTTCAGAGTTAATCCATTTTATCCTTATTAGCCAATCAGGTAAGCCCATATCTCTTATCTAAAGGTATTTCTGTGTATATTCAAGTGATTTAGGTGCTTGTAGTCACTCTCTGCTTTACTGGGCCTTTAGTTTACCATAATCTGTCCACACTTTACATTATTCTGCCTTGCAGCACAAAGATGAATATTGCTTGTAATCTCAGTGCAGGGTGTGAAATTCTAGATGTGTCTAACATGCAGCAACATGAAGAGTAAACAAGGAGACATGAAAAAATATTCACAGTCTCTCTAGAATAACAGCTCCAAAAGTCATGGTAGAAATAATTTCATGATAAAAAACCTCTTATACTTGCAGTATGCATTGGTTAACTTCCATGTTTTTTGTGAACATGTATATAGATATATATATGCTCATCTGTTTACATTATGTTCCTGCATATATATTTCACTAATAACCTTTCTGATTAAATTTTCAAAGAACATTTCCTTGGTGATAGTTAAATGTGCAGACAGTTATTGATATTCAGGATGAAAGTTACTGCTGTGGCAGTCCAGCATGACATGTAGACACATGCTGTGTGTAAATGATAGACCTTCATATATGTCTTCTGTAGGTGTATGGATCTGTCTCAAAGGGGAAATCACTATTACTTATTTATCTCTGCAGTACAATTTCCCTCTTAACCTTGACCTCAAATCTTCCTGTTAGTCCACAGCTGGCCTTCTAGCATGAACCAACAGCTCCTTATACACTTATTTAGTCTTGGTGCTATTTATGCAAATGCAGGTGTTAACTAGACCTTAGATCGGATTAAATAAATGCCTTTTTATAGTTGTTAAGAGACACTTTATCCTAAACACTTAGTGTTGTGTATGACAAGTAGTAGGGCACTAAAGGCTTCAGCTCCTGAAATCTGTGGTGAATCATACTGTCCAATCTACATGCTAGCATAAATGCTAGCATTTATGAGCAACTGCCACATGTTGCAAGTCAAAGGTCTGTGTATTTGTGACCAGTGGAAAGCACACACCCTCCCACACTTCTTTTTGCAATTGCTGCCGGCTCTCTTACCCCGATCTTCTGGGGAGACCTCAGGGGTTCCTTCTCAACAAGACGCAGATAGAAGGCACCAGGGAGGATGAAAATCAACATTGTAGCAGAAGAGGCTCCTGGAAGAGAGAGTAGAGCTGAGTACTGCACCATCTGTCAGAAAAGCAATGTGGTGCACCTGCAAAAGAGAACATGTGGGAAGGCAGCTGCTCTTCCAAGCCCGGCTGCACAAAATGTTCTCTCTGTAGACAGCATTCATGGAGAGCTGTAGATGTCCAAACACTTATTTGAGTGCTCAGGGCCTGAAGAGACACTTGTTACTGAGAGGATTTTTTCAAACCGATGCCTGCATGTCAGCTGGTGAAGCAAGGACAAATAAACACTGCCAGGGCGGGATGACTCTGGAAAGCAGGTATCGAAAAGAGAGTGGATGATCTGTGCCTAGGAAGTGCCTACTCCTCTCTGCTCGGCATAACCCAGTATGGTGGCCCGGGCACAACAGGCTGGGAGGAGCAAACCAGCTGCAGAAAGCCCATGGAGGTGTCTTTCTCAAGGATATTTACATCCATGAGTCTTCAAGCAGCTCAGAGCACAGAGGCTCTTCATGCACTTCTTTGGTCAGAGGCCAAAACTGACCAAAAGAAAGAGGTAGGGAGAGAACTGTGAATGTCAAAATAAATGTGCCACTTTTCTCCTTTTTCTTATGTCACAGTTTGGAAGTCAATACATTTTATTCAGGCTACAGGTGCTTGAAAACCAAAGGTGATTTCCTACTCCTCCATATACATTGAACGACCTTTTTGTCAAAATGGGGATTCCTTACCTGTTTTCATACTGGGATTATTGTATTCCTTGTGCCTCATGCAAGGTAGCAACAAAATTGGGTAGCCTTCAGCTTTGCGTGTCAGTTGTTTGGGAATTATATCCCTTTTATCTTTAATCTGTGTTCATAGTACTCTACTGTAAGACCCAAACTGAGACTGTCACTCAGTCCATAAATGTAAATACGTAAAAAGAATTAGAAAAGTGTTTATGAAACCTACCAATAAATCCAAAGATGTCTTTAATAGTTGGAACAAAAATTACAAGCAGGTCATTAAAAGCCAGAATTACTGCTGCAATCAGGAAATGTCTTATCCAGCTGAATGGCCTTTTGGGAAACAGCAACGCACTGATAGATGAACGGATCTGCAAGATGAAAACCAGCAGGGAAAGTAAAACAATAATTAATTTTTCTTTGCTTTTCACTTTTAAAAATGATCTATGTTAATTACTTTTGCAGTGAGAAATCCTGACTGAAAAAATGTGTTTTCAGTCTTTGATTCCCTTAATATAATCTCACTCTGATGTAGGTTTTTGAGAACTGCGTTCACAGTTTAATGCAGAAACTCAAATATTTGCAGTGTAGAAGAAAATCAAGTAAATAGGGTGTAAAATCAGGGACATGAAATCTGTTCAACTGAAAGATGCTAATATCAGCAAAAAAACCCCGAAGAACCCCCCACTATGAATACTAATCAGTAGACAAAAAATGCATGTGTGAAATAGGAGTTGCTGTATTCTTGTACCTGATCCCTCTGAAAATCCCACAGGAGTTCTGTCATTTACTTTTCTGAGAGAAAGAGGAAGCTGTTGTTTTACTTTGATCAAATATGTACATATACATATCTGAAAATAAAAGCATATTTTTCAATGCCACTCGGAAATTATAAACCTAAAAGCTGTTGCAGAGGATACTTTGTGCTCCACTGACTTTCTCACACAACACAGAATTTTTTTGCTTTTTCATCATAAAAGGTGGTAAGTAGGAAAAAGGTCAAAAGCAAATCCATTGGCGGCTGGAGATAGTGTTACTCTCAAGTACCGTGATTAACTTGAAATTCGAAATGTAGAAATGGAGCAACAATATTTTTACACTGTAAAAAAGCTCTAAACCCACTTCTGTTTCATTCTTTTAAAATAACATACAACTGTTTCTGGGTGAGTTTGGCAGCTGAATAAATGTATGGGGTTCTATCAGACTTGAAGTCCATCGCTTGAAAACACAGCATGAATTTTGTATTTTTCAGGTTGATGTGAGCCAATATTAGGAAGAGGGAGACAGATTGCAAATATTTTTTCCAGCCCCTGAGTTGGTGTAAAACAGTTTTATTGCAGCAAAAAACTGCTGCCTGCATTTCTGTGCACTTACTTTTAGCATCTTGTCCATTATACCTTCTGTGACATAGTCCTTAAAAAGGATTTATCAGCTGTAAGTTTTACAGTGACTAATGGTATGTAGCTCTATAGTTAATTTATTTTTTTTAACAATGAAATGAATTTTTTTAAAGAAAAAACTCTGACTACTTTGAGAAAATACAAATGCAGCAATTCATTAAAAAAATAATTGTTACAATTATGTTGTTTATTTGGAGTAATAATATCTGCTGTGCTGGCTGTCCAAATAGGCTATGTAAATCTCTTTGATATTCTGGCTTACAAGCAAATGATATTTTCTCAGGAGTCCTCTTAATAGAAAAATTAGTGCTGTGGTATATAAATGTTAGGACTTCACACACTATTCAGATATAAAAATGATTTTACAAAAAATTAAAAGGCAAAATGCTACATCTGACAGACAGAGGCTTTTGCAATGCCCTTAGCTTGTTTTCCCATGAAGAGCAATCAGTTTGTTAAGACTAATTTCAACATTTAGCCACTGGTTTAAACATGACATTTAAGGCAGAGCACTGGTGTTTTCCAAGCTACAAGAACCGATCACTCTGGGTCCTTTATACCAGAACTTTCTTTTTGATTGACAACATTGAACAGTGATCACTGCTCTAAGGCATTTGTCAGCAAGCCTGGAAACAGTATCTACACAGAGCATGCATTGCATCCAGGACAATGCAGCAACAGGACCCCAGGGTTACTGCTGTCATCAGATGGGAACCCTATGGTGTGACGTGGATTGCTGGGAGCTCTCTGGCAGCATGATGCTAGGCTTTTACGTGCCATACAAATGACACACTAGCCTCCCAAAATCTAATCACCAGGATCAGCTATTTTCTCCCCTGCTGCATAGCAGCTCAGAGAAGGCATGGCAGACAGTCCTATACATTCAGGAGCCAAGAGGTCTGCTCTTCAGAGGAGATCCCTGAGGAGGCTCAGTCCCTCTTCAGAGCAGCTTGTTTACCTGTGTCTTTCTGTCGATGCTGCTGTGTATATTTTGTTTTTCCTTGTGAAGAGAACACAGAAGCTCCAAACTTTGCTCAGACAACTGACTATATGGCTGAGTGTTGTATGCCTCTGTGTTCTGGTATTTAGCTTTCTCCCCTGTCCATAGACTGAAGCATGTAAGGTGAACACAGGCTTCTGTCCCTCTGCTTTGGCAGCTGGATCTGGGAGTCCTGCACAATGTGTAACCTGAGATTCACATGTCTGTCCTGAATTTGGATGCTATAGTAGGTGCCTATGTCTCTATTAGGAAATCTCGTAAGTGGTTTGAGTATATCCCCGTCTTTGGTACTTAGCACTGCTCTGATAAATATAGTACAGAAAGAGCCAGAGAGACAGAGAAGTCATTCCTGATTTATTTATAAAGACTGATTTATTTCAGTCTTTCAAATTTTGCAACCTGAACTGCCTAAGGTTCATGCTCTCGTCAAACTGCATATGAGAAAACAGACCCTTCTAAGTAAAAGCTCAGGCTTATTTTTCTTCAATGTTAAAATCTACCTGTGCTGAGCCCATACAATCAGTGTATATGGGCTAGCCCTGATTTCAGCTTAAGCAACTGTGTTACTTACAGGGAAAAGGACAAGGGGCACAGTCAGGGTTACAGCCACCAGCACTGCCAGACGAACTGACAACAAGAGGGTGTCGAAGGTGTACACTTTAGTGTATGTATGAAGTAGCTCATCTTCAACTTCTCCTACAAAAAGGAAACAAAAAGGGGCTAAATCACTTAAGCAATATCTGAACATGCAAAAGAATCTTTGTACTGCAGCCAGATAAGATTAGCTTTAGCCCAGCTGCTGTCATTAGATACATGTTATGGGCTAGACACGAAAGAGGAATTTTCCCACTGTGACTGATACAAGTCCATCATTCACAGATGATGAAGGTAATACAGCTCTGAGGTGATGCTTTGTACTCTAGTATCTTTGGGATGACTTTGAGAAAGACATTAAGTGGATGTAGAGCCTGAAGTAAAAATAATTTCTGTGATATGAAATATGAAACAACTGAACTGGTGACAGCTCCCTTTGACCTCCACCCACATGTCCCAGCTCTCAGACAGAGCTCTCTTGACCGAGTGATAGGGAGAAGATTGTGCTGTATCATTCATTTCTTTGCTGCATGGAGGAACTAGCAAGCTAAAAAGAAGTGGCGTTTGCATAAAATGGTGTGTTAATAGAGGGACTTCTCTGTTTGCCTATCGGTTAGTCTAGCTCATCCATATTTTTTTACTCTAGAATGATTTGCGCCTGTTTTTCAGCATAGATGAAGCTGAACTAGTGGTGTCAGAGCCAGATTGGGTAGCACTTAATAGTGTCATGTAAAACTGTTGAGCTCTAGAGTATTTTTAGTACAGTCACTCTTGGCCTTTGCCAAGAGCCGAGTTTACAGCAACTTCTTGTCTGAGTTCACAAAGCCAAGAGATACGCAACTGGTCCCCCTAGTAGATGCCTCTGAGTTTCTCGCAGGTGAGGTGGTCTGACAGCTGGAGAAGTGCCACAGATCGTTCAGAAGGTTACACACTGCATATTATAATTGAATGTTGCTTACACTTGGATTTGAGTCCACAAAAAAATACATTAATGCTTGGGCCTCTGAGATAGAACCAGTTAATCTGCTTTAAAATGACGGGGAAAATTCTGCAGAGAACAGGGTTTTGACCTACCATAGAAGGTAAGGTATCCAAACAGGGCTGCCAGAAGATACATGATAAGCATGCCAGTGATGGAAATATTTGAGATATTCTGCATCCGCTTTCGGGAGCGACTGAAGTACAAAAGAAAGAAAGTAACAGTCCTATAAAGCCTCTATTTGTACAAGAAGTACTCAGAAGTATCTTAGCTCTCTGACATATCCTCCCTGGCAAGTAAGTTCATAGCAACTATATTGGTTACACAGAGCTGTTGATACTTTACAGCTCTGTGTAGAGCATCATAGACTTATAAAAAGCGTGTTGAAACTTCATTTCTATTGCTTTCCCACTGACAACATAACATGTGCCACATTATTTTGTATATCATTATTTATTAACTATCTATCTCAAATGGTGTATTTTAAATAAAAAAAATGGAGGGGCTATAATTACAGGACTGGTAGTAAGAATAGACAAGAGCTCTTAGCCAGCTCTATATGAACATACCCTTATATCTACATAGGGCTGTTCTGCAGGTTCAAGAACCCCTTGCAGGTCAAATCCTTTCTTCATAAATCCTTTGGTTAAAGATAATCTTCATTTTATAGGACCTGGAAGCATGTTCCAAGTTATCTGTGAATTTTTATTGCTTCTGAGGTTAAACCTGCTGAAATAGGAGGTAATGGTTCATAGCCTCCTTGAGTTTTGCAGCACGCTCTTCTGTAATGTATTTTTTGCTGTTCAACAAATGCCTTTGATTAGTGCTTCCCACTTATCAACTCTGTGCTGATTTAAGCAAATGTATTTGATTTTTGATATTTCTTAAGCAAATCAGGCTGGACGAAGAGACTATGTAAGACACCCAAACCAATGGCACCCCAAGAAACTTTAAGAGTAAGTAGCAACTGACCCAGACACAGAACTCATTAAAATATTATTAGAAACAAGAGTTATCTCCTTCAGTGCAACCAGTTTATTTCACATCCTTTTAAGAACTGTCCGGATTCCTCCTTTCCTAAGTAAATATTGATCAGTGCAATGGTTCTCTGTCACCAATATCTGACTATAAGATCAAAGCAAAGCCAATGTCTGCTTTCTATGGTAAGCAATAAATCATTATCATGTGGGTGTTTATACACCTGCAGTCAAGAGGCAACATGTAGAAAATGATCTCTAGCTATGGTTAACTGGAAGTATTGGACAAAATTTAAGAACCTTACTCTTTCAGTTCACTGTATATTGGTAGCACCTCAGGGTGGCATACGAATGCAAATGCCAGGATGGGTATTGCATAGGCAGTCTGTAAAATAAAGCTCCCATTAGTAAGAATGGTCATGGCTGTACCTCTGACTTTTGGCAGCCAGCAGTTTAGCTGTAGTACAGTTAAAGTGGTTAAATGGTTAAAGACAAAGAACAAAGAATCTCCCTTACCCGTGAGTTGAACACAAAGTATTTTGGCTGACACTTGTCACTGTTGTCGCTGTGTGCTTCATATTCTACACCGCTTTTGGGGGAGGTATCTTTTGGTTCCTCAAGGCCTGGCAAGTGCCCAGCTGTGTTGTCCATCATGAAATTCACACCAGAACCACGTGACTCATTTGGTAACATTACCAGGTGCATTAGCACTGTGTTATTGGTGGTGGTCCAGTTTTCAACCCCATGGTCCATGATGGGGAGAGGACAGGGTATTTGGGATTTCTTGAAGATTACCTACAAAAGAATAGACTATGTCATCAGAAGAGTACCACTGTAGGTGATTACACACCCAGGGTATTCCAACAGAAGTATAAGCAGGCACACAGAAGAGAGGGGAAATAGAGAGGGCAAGAAATCGAGTGTTACCACTTCTGCTTCTCTTGCAAATATTTGTTGTTAATTTGCCTTTGCTGTTGTCCTGTTTTATTTTTTATTCTCAAGAGTTTTTTAAACTGAATTTTTAATTCTGACTTCATTCAGCAATAGGTTTGTTGATTTGATTCACTTGCAGATGCTATTTTAACATCCACATTAAATTGTCATGGTAAGAAATATAACAGTGTTTAAGGGTTTGCAAGTTCTGTATTTGCTTAGAAACAATACCCAAACAGTCACCTACCACACTGACAAAGAAAACCATACAGGTCAGTGAAAATCCACTCGTATAACCAAGATAACCTGTGCAGTAAGAAAAACAAAACAAAACAAAAAAGGAAACCAGTTCAGCTACATATAAATTCACAATCCTAATAGAAATAAGAAAGGACCTTAAGCAGTACATTAAGCTTACCTAAGGTTTTTAGAAGGGAGAGGGGAAGAATAATCAAAACTGTTACAAGTATGACGAGGTAGTTCCCATTCAGGTACCATTCTCTAAAGAGGAGGAATAAAAACAACAACAATCATTATTGACATCAAAGTGAAAAATTTTTATCTGAGGTTCAGGTTGGGAAAAGGTACCTACCCAGAATTCTCCTCAAGTTTCATAAATGCTCTGATGACTTCTGGAAGTTCATATTTAATAATAAAGAGGTAGCTTGACATTGCTGAAAAAAAACCAAGAAGCTAAAAAACTAAACACCTTCAGGGAAAACTGTAGTTCCAAAAAAAGAAAAAAAGAAAAAGATTTTTGCAAAAGTAGAGAAATGAGTTTTGTTCAAATGAAAGTGTGACTAAACAAATGGTGTGCCCTTCAAATTGTTATGAGCATGTCCTGAATGACATTAGAATGACATCAGAATGACATTATTGTATTAGAATACAATACAGTTACTACTGAATTAAAAGCATACTCAAATCACTCTTAACTTTTCCTTCTACTTTTTTGTTGTAAATGTTGTTTTTCCAATGGATGCTATCCATCCCCATTCTGTAGTAACTTAAGATGTTACTGCCTCCAGATCTCTTCAGCTTCCTTATCCTCCCTATTTTCAACTTCTTTCTTCTGATAATCTTCTCCATATATAAAGAAAATAACTAGTTGTCAAGATTCTTGATGGAAGAGTGGACTTCTATACACCTAATTTAAATGTATTTCCAAAAGGAATGCCTTTTTCAGTTATTTTATGTTTGCCACAGAGAGATCTCTGGAGACCTATAAATCAGTCTAGACAAGGACTAGAGAAACAGCTATTCTTCTTTAATAGGGAAGTGTGCTTCATTCCTGAACTCAACCAATTTGATATTTAGGCTTGAGGAAGGAAAAGAAGACCATAGAATAGCAGCTTTTATGAACCAAATCCAAAAGTCTTTTGCAGTAGAGAGATGTGAACTACATCTCCTAAAAGGTTTCTTCCAGGACAGTAAAAGGAAACAAGCTTTGTTGCATGACTATACAGTCCTATCCCTACTATTTATATCGGTAAGTAAACAGCCTCCTGTTCTCAGACAATGAAGATTGCTTGATAGATGTTTCACAGGAGGTATCTTTGTAGGTGAATACATTAAAAACATACTTTTAACGCACAGCATCTTCAGGAGAACACAACCCAACTGTATTTCAAGGAGAGAATTAAGCTGAAAAATGAACTACTGAAGAGTCTTTTATATAGAAGACAGAACCATGTGCTGTTCCTTTTACATTGGACTAATCTTTTCTAAGTTGAAGCGGATGGTTCAATTATATGCTAAGAAGAACAGTCTGAGCTGTACTCAATAAAGAGAAATGGTCAATTCCTGGAAGACAGTCAGCCAGGCCACTTTAGCCATCATTGAAGCCTTTTCACTGGCCATGGAGAGATCCCAGGTAACTGTCTTTCACCAGACACTGAAGTGTCAGGTAGCTGAATCAGTGACACAAATCTCCCATGTCCTTCCTTTTTGTAATACGGTGAATGCTGTATCTGGCTCAACTCTGATGCCATTTAGCTAGGCAGAGGGGAGAAAGCACTTGTGTTCTGTAGAAAAGCATTGAAAGCTAGAAAATTCTTTCCCTTACCTCCAATGTTCTGCATTGTAACCGAAATGAAAACACCACACTTCCCAGGCCAGCCAAATGCCTTTTCTCCCAGTTTTTCATATATTAATGATCCTGAAAAAAAAAGCAAAATTAAAAACAAAAAAAACCCCATGAGCCACTGCATACTTGATGAATTGCATTCCAAGGAAAAATAGGTGCAGCAGGGACTCTCTATCAGCCACGGCCTGCTCCTCATACCTCCTTCTTTTGATATCTTCAGTAAGAGGTGGACCGAGTAGAGTGACAATATTGCGACGCTGAGCAGCAAAACTCTGTAAGGCAAAGCAGAAATTAGAATCCTAAGCAGGACATCAGAGGCAGTGGATTTGAACTTACACTTGCTCATTTTCATGAGGTTCAACATATAAATAGTTTTCAGCATGTTTTTTCTTTGGTCTCCCAGTGCTAAATGCAGAGAAAAGTGTCAACTGTAACTTACTTGTGAGTACAGTTGCACCTTATGCACTCCAAAAGCCCCTGAAGGTTTGTTTAAGTCTAGTAAGTGCCACTTCTGTGCTATTCCACAAGGACAGAATCTTGTATCTTAACAGTATCCTACTAAAGTAAACAGATTTCTATGAGAGTCTGGTCTTTGGACTCTTACCCGCTCCTTGACCTCTCAATTTCATATCTCTCCTTACTCAGAGCTGTCACCCAAAAAAACCAAACCAAACCAACCCGAAACCAAAACCAAAACCAAACCATGATTGTGAACACTTCACTGCTGCCTCCTGGGTGGTCACTGCTTTTGGCTTCTGCCATATCATTGTGAAGCCGAGTTTAGTTGCCTGTTGTGTAAGTACATTAAAAACTTTGCATAATATTAAAGCATGACATGATACTGGAAAACCTGCTCTTGGAGCACGTGTAGCTAAGTCTTCTAGTCTAGTCTGCTTGAAGGTATTGGTGCCCGAATTCATTAGTTCTGATTACTGCCATGTTCCTTCCACACAACATTTGCATCCTATGTGATTTCAGCCTCTCACAAACTGCTGGTGAAAAATGTAGTTTTGTATGACATATTCAGGGCACAACACTGTGGGCACTACATCTTATTACCATAATCATCTTGGCAGCAGCCTGCACAAGTGCTGGTACAGAAAGGAATGCGATGATAATGTGACAGAACTGGGAAATACTGATGTGCCTTACTCCATGGCTGAACCCACACCTTCCACCCCACTGAATATGCAGTTTGGTACAGATATGGGAGACACAGCCAAGTTCCTAAATGAGTTACAATCTAAGAGCAGACCCAGGACCTGGGGCAAGGTGATGGCCTCCAGACCATCACAATTTTTTCTGAGGTTTCTCTCTTAGAGAGACAGACAGTGTTACAGCCTTCATGTGAGCAGGGTTGCCTGTCATGATGTGGGCTCATGCAATATGGTAAGGGGGAGTCATGCCTGAGATCACAGTGTATCCTGCTGAGAAGGTATCCTTCTTGATCAGGGGAACCCATGGAGCGTGCTGTTCGTGTTTCCATGTCCTGACACATGAGGTAGGGTAAAACAAAGTCCTCCTGGTTTCACTTGCCAGACAGCAGAAAAGACACTCTCATGCAAACTCTGTGCCACTGTAAACCTCCTCCACAGGAGGAATGTAATGGGAACTTCTGGAGAGCTTCTGAATTTTAGGAACCCTCCTTTTACCTTCACCCTGTAGGACATCTTCCAGCATGACAGCGCTTGAGCAACATGAGAACAGTAAATTACAAAAAATTTAGACAATGCTGCCAGCATCATCTAAATTAGAATTAATGTCCTGCAGTTTTCATTTAGGTAGATGGTATTTTTCTGTCCCAGTAGCACTAATATTGTGATCTGTGAAAACAGAGGAACTTCCAGCAAGTGGATACATGTCATGGGGGAAAAATATCCACACAAAAGTTTATGCTTTTAAATAAAACTCCTTCGTCTACCAGAAGGGAGAACGTTTTCATGCAGGAAATATGGAAATGGGACAGAAAAGAAAGCAAGCTCTGGGTGGAGATGCCCTTTATTTGGCTGTTTAGGTCTCCATGTAGTGCTTTAGCATTACTCCCTGCTCTAGCACTGCTAACGAAGCTAATGGCATTAGGCTCATATTAGATTTTTTTTTTGCCACCCAAGTGAATGAAGAGAGCTTAAAAATAGCGATATTACAAAGGTAATGTTTTTTCCCCAACTAGTGAGGCTTAACATATCGTGGTTTTCTTTCCAGCGCTAATTAATGGACATACTAGTTAGGACAAGTGCTCAGAGAAAGCTGGAGAAAAAAAAATCCTACATTTTTCTAACCCTGATGCAGTCAATTTTAGAACCAGTTTCCATTTTTGATCTGTAAATACTATGTCTAAGACAGTAGAGTGCAGGTGTTATGAAGCACTTACCCAGAACAGGGTTTGAATATACAAATAATTTTCAGTTAAAAATTCTACTGGCAAAACAGGAGATGTTTCTTAGCAACTGGAATCTACATGTGGTATTTCAAATGCTGTTTCTCTTGTAGCTACACAGTCTTCACAAGCAAGAAGTGATATAAAAACAGCCAAGCAACCTGGTTTAAAGGCTTGTTAGATTTCACTAATGTCAAACAATGGCCTAACACTATCATGCTTTATTCCAATTTCATGGGAGGTTAAAATTAAGGCTTCAGTTAAAATTAAAACCACTTATTAAAAAAAGAAAACCAACATTTTTTTTTTAGTCGGTCTCATTAAAATGAGCCAGAGGTTAGCCATCAATTAAAAAACTTCCCATGGCTATCTGTCACTGTCTATCAAAACCCATTCTGTATAGATACTGCCAGCCACATACCATTGCTTTCATCTGTGCACATCGTGTACAAATAGACTTGAGGGAGTAACATTAAATCTGGATAAATCTGTGAATGCATTTACATTCAAAGCATGTTGCTATTTCAGATTATACTGAATATTCTTCTTCTATTTCTACATAGTGATTAGATAGTTGGAATGGTGTAAATATATTTATGGGTGATTTAATTCCCTTTTTGGACTCCTATAATGAACCAGCAAGATTGCTATCTTTATTTTAGGACCAGTATACTGTTCTTTCCTTCTGTTTTTTGACTGCACAGTGTCAATTCACAGTTGTGTTCCTGATACAGAAGAGGTCTAAAATATAGGAAAAAAAAGGCTTTTCAGCAGTGGTTCCTTGTGGTGAAGCTAAAATGGTTTAATTACAGATGATTTTATGAAACCTTTCAGCTAACAAAACAAACTTAACACACCTCTCTAACCATAAAAGCTTCAGTGCCAGCTCTGTTCTTATATTCTATTTGCTTTTCTTTCTATGTACTTACATGAAAAAGATAATTCCTGTGTTGGCCATGGCATAGGAGAGCCCTAAGATGCCGCTGCCCATAATAGCATTGCTGAGGTTGAACGAGGACATTCCAAAGGAGATTCTACCTGCGTGCTGTTGGGTGCAAAACCAGGAAATGGCAATTAATTTGTATTTTACTGAGTACAACAGACTAATCATCCTCATTGTTGGATTTCCCTGTACTGCTCTCTTGATCTTTAGAGGTGGAGTTTTTCAAGGTTCCTGAGTCCACAGATGCTTGCCATCATAAGGAGTCTCTTTACCCCCAAAGACAACTATGATGGTAGTGTTTGCCTCTTCCCATTCTTCAGTTGTCTCAGAGGGGAGGAGGGCTACATTCCTGACAGGTGTCTGAGGTGGCAGCTGTGTTGGCTAGCCTCTATAGAAATATATGCTGCTATCTTATAGATTAGCCACTTATTGATTTTAAAAAATCTGATTTTTTGTTTTAGACTTAATACAACTGGTTTTTGAATTTTTCTTCAAGTAGGATGTGCTTCTTTCTCTGGGGAAATAAAAGTGTGTCTGGGGGAGAAAAAAATGAGGGCTGAGTGTCTGGGACTGGAGGCAGGAGAGTGGAAGAGGACAAAACCTAGGAGAGGGAGAATGGTGTGTGATGGAGTTACAACTGACACCAACTGGAAAAGAAAAAGGGGGAATATGGCTCTTAATTTTAGTTTACAATCACAAATAACATATTTTGGGTTTATGTGATCAGTCCTAATAAAACCTGTAACACAACCAATAAAATAATGTCTTTCTTTTCACCAAAGTCATGAACACTTTGAATAAAGTTAAATCCTGAGTGGACAGGTACCCATGTGCACACCCCAGGAACTGGTGCTGTGCTTCCACTTTCACATGGAGTTGTTTAAGGAGTGGGAGGTGCGCTGGGCATGCAACGCTCAGCATCATAAAGCCAAAACAAGAATGCCCTTTCCTTAAAGCAATGCAGCTGGATGTGTATTCATTTACACTGATGCTGGAAACAAACAATACAAGCATGCGTACACTAAGGCCCAGATCTACCTGGCTTTTGGAGCAACAAAGTCCTCTGAACCAAATGTCTTAGAAAAATGGATGCAGACCCACACTGTTTGAACATAGGTGAGATTACATGGGTGCTACCAAAGTTCAAGTGTGATCTCAATAATTTTTCTGATTACTTGTGAAAGAAAGACCCAGTTTTATTTGTAAGACAACAGAAAGGCTTTGTTGCACTAACTGTTAGAAAATGCGTTTATTTGAAAGCCAAAATGATGCTGATCAAGCTCCAGAGTAACTTTGTTTACTGGAACTTTTGGAAAAAAGATTCAGGTCAATAAGATGTATTTTGTAATTATTCATTAATTCACTAAAAATGAATAAAACTTACATATTCTTCATTGTAGTCTTCCAGTTTCTTTTTGCCCAGATATCCATTTGTAAGGAACTTCTGACTTTCTGCATCTTCACTAGCAAATGGATCGAATACAAAGAAAAATAAGAAAATATTAGATAAAGCTTCTGACACATATTTTATTCTAGTAGTGCATTTTGTCATTAGTGGAAACTTTCCTTTGACATTGCAATAAATATTTAAAAATCCCTCAGAAAAACACTCTGTTCTCCTGTAAGATTCTCATGTCCAGTGGCATGTTTAATAGATCTTTGCTTTGCCTTGGAATAGTTTTAAACCCAGTAATTTTCAAATTATATCTGATTGTAGATGTTGGAAAGTAGAATTCCATACAGCAGTGTGCTAAAGCTGAGCACATACTTCATATCGGAATAACGAAGCACCTTGCAACTGCCCTGTTGGAGAGACGTGCTGGGAGGTGCAGCGAGCTGAGAGCTGGAAGCCAATGGCTGGTTTTGACATGTCTTTCTCCAATCATGCAGGTGCTACTGCTATGGTGGGTTCTGCTGGATCACCTGAGGGTGGACTGTCCCTGTGGGAGAACTGAGCTGCTCAGGTTGCACTGCTCTGAGAGTGTATTAATTTATGCGTGTACTATCTGACTGGAGTGGTTGGAAATTTCCAAGGGGCTGGGAGCCTGCAGAGGTCACTCCAGGTGGTGGCAAGGAGGGACCTGGGCTACCTTGGCTGTGCTAGGTGCACTGTCCTCCAGAGCACAGAATGGGGAGGGTCATTGCTGTGGGACAACTGTCCCAGATGCCATTAGTGAAGCTTGTTTTTTGATTACTGCTTTCTAGCCTTAACAGAACAGTTAAATGCTTACCTCCTAATTGCAGCCTTTTCTGAATCAACCAGCTCTGTGTAGTTGTCTTCGAGGCTTTCCCCACTGTTGCTCTGGTCATCTAGCTCAATATTGACTTTTTGCAGCTCCATACGATCCATTAGAGAGGTCAGCGCTTTCCAGCACACACACTCGCTTCTTCAGGGTAAACAGCACCGTGCTGTCTGCTTGCACCTCTCTGTCATGCAGGGACTGCCAGAACACTCTGTTCTGCAAACAAAACACAATAGAACTCATTAGAATTTTCTTTAAATTAGATAAACCAGTGTGAATTGTTCGGTGTTGGTTTGATCTTGATAATAGCATTAAGAGGGGAAACTGTTACAGACTGGGAAAATTCTGGGCAAGCATAGAAGTTCCTTTATATGCCAGCACTTGGCCCTCCTGTCTCCCTTAAAATGGTAAAGTGCCAGGCCAACAGATGAACAGTGGGTGTCCAGCACCTGGCAAAAATGCAAAGCCAGCAGAAAATAATTTCCTGAACTGCTTCTTTTGAATGTCTAGGGGAGGGTGATGCAGAAATGTTTGCTGTAAAAAAGGAGTATAGCAGGCTTTCCCAGTCTCTTAAGATTAATGTTGTCACAGGTTTAAATGTATTGTAGACTTGCCCCTTTCACTGGGATCTGACAGATGTGAGCATTTCTGTATGATCACTTTTTGATGATTGAGAGGTGCAATTCTGATAGATCAGTTTCCAGTTTTCAGTGTACATGTGTTTAATTCTTACTTGACCCTCTTAGAAAAATTCCTGTCTTTTGAAAATCATATGATGCTCAACTCCTTATTTCTGTATGGGCCAAATAAAACTGTACAAACCAAATTTACAAAGAGAACTTCACCTTTGGGATTTTAGCAGCTGCATGTTACAGATTCCTCTGTAGATACATATGTGGATTCATTTGCTCATAACCAGACTCAAGAGGAAAAGACTGTACAAGAAATTTTGCAGTTTTGCAATACTTTTGCCTTCCCAAAGATATTCCTTGAGGTATTTTATATGTCCGTTTCACAGCTGAGGAGATACCAGTGAAGGGAGTGAGCACAACCAGAGAGCACATTGCTGGCAAGCTCGTGGCCAGAGTTACAGGTTTCTGACCCTCTACCTGCTGCCTTGCAATCAGGCACACTGGCCAGATCCATGACATTTTTCATAAATATTACGTGATAAATGCAGCTCAGCATTGCACAATAACAATATCATAAAACACCGCAACAAGTAATTTCTATGTCTGGCTCTTTGCAACACTAAATCTACAATTATTTAATAGCTTTTTTCCTGGTTTTGCATTTATGGGTGTATAAGTCCTGCTTGATGACCAGATCTTCTCTATCCTCTGTTACTGATCACATGCTGTTCTTAAGAACATCTACAAGCATATTTGTAATGGCAAGATATTGGAGTGCATGTTTTTAAAATGTAAATGTAAATGTAAACTTTAAATCCAATCCTAGAGTATAATACCCACCCCAGGTCAGAAATTAAAGTGAAATTCCTTGCTTCTAACTAAAAGCATTCACCCAGACCAGACAACTGAAAATGGAAAGCAATATCACAATGCACTAGGAGATTTCCTACCAGAGAGAGTGGCTGTGTTTAATTCTTTCTGCTGCCTCACAGAGAGTGTGCGTGAGGGGATGAGTGACTCAGGCATCAAGGCAGAGCTGCTGGCACTTGCAGTGGTTGGGGGATTCTGCCCGCTCAGGATATGAATAACTCCATGAGTTAAAAAAACAATGACCCCCTTTGCCCCCTCCCCCAAACCTCTGATGGAGCCCTAAGAACAATAGTTTCAATTACAGAACTATCTTCAAAAGCAGACGCTGCTCGGTCTGAGAAACACAGTCATTCGGATTCTTGATGCTTATTTTTAATCTGTGGTGTAAAAGTCGGGCAAACAAATCTAACTGTGCTTATCCCTGTTCTGGTAAAGTGTAAAATCTGCCCTGTGAGCGCTGCCTAAGTCTTATTGGAGAAATGTCTTTTCCAGAAGTAGCAGTCCAAAAAATACTGGTCTTCAAAGAGTTGAGAAACCCAGGTAAAAGTAAGCAAAAAAGTTGTCAGGAGTTAAACTACACAAAGATTAAGCTGAGGATGAAAGTCTGTGCAGCGCAGCAAACACAATTTGGAAAGGAGAGGAAAAATTGACCGGAAATACATGTTACTGCATAAGAATCATCTGGACATTGTCCTGTCAAACATTTGCACAAGTCATCTGATATATGGGTGTCATCTCGAGAGGCTGTGGAATTACTGCATAAAGCAGTGATTTTCTATTTTTATTTTTTTTATTTTTTAATATGTGAATTCCCAAATGTCTGGTGAAAGTGCAAATTCCTCAGGTGGCAAAATTAAATCTGTTGAGAACCTGCTTTCTTGAAGTCATAACTTTTTAGAGAGAGGTTGGTAGAGCTCAAGGAGTCTACAAACTGGCCTTGCCAGAAGCTTAGCATGTAATAGTGGAGGAGAAACACCAAAGTTCGTATGTTCTAGCTTCCCTGGGATTTCATGCTTTCTTCTTCTGAGTTCTGAAGTTGGTGCCTAAACATATAAGAAAAATCTCTTAGATTTACAATGTTCCTCAGACTTGGCTTCAATATGGTGATGGTTTTGCTGCCTCCTGGGCCATTTGGCTGAACAAAAATTTTTTTCTTGAAGTTTAATATTAAAATGGAAACACTTATTGCAAAAGACATTAACCTATTATTAGAGGGAAGTTATGTATCTCTGTAAAACTGATTTTCGTATTCAAGTATAAGGTACTGTTCTGCATCATTTATTAAGTAATGGTTTTCAGCAATGATTCAAAAAATGATGACATTTTTGCCATCTGATTTCACAATGTTATTGATTCCTGTCCAGTCTGCAGTTAGGACATTAAGAGAATGGGCAAATAATGTTGGGTCACAGATATGACTAACACTTCCATGAGTTTTGCAGTATCAGTATTTGTAATCTCCTCCATGGTATCCGATTTAGCAGATTTTGCCAGATTCTTTGTCTTCATGACAGTGACTTTATAATATTATTGTCTATGTGGCTATTTCAAAATGAAATAAGTGTTGTCACTGTGAAACATGCAAATAAATGTAAAGCTTTCATATATTCTTTTGTTTAAAGAAATGTTAGCTGAATAAATCAAGAGCCTTGAAAAAAATTCTCAGGAGTTAGCCAAGGGCTGCAAAGGAAAGAAATCATTCATTTCTTAATTGACAAGGCAATTTTGAACACTTTTGCTGCTTCTCTGGTTTCTTAGGTTTTGATTTTCTGTACAAAAGAGAAGGCTAAATTTCATTCCTGGAGAAATACCAAAGATATTTGCCAGTGTAAATTACCATGTCAGTAAATCTTAAGGAGCCCATCCTTCACATTGCACTTGTATGTACAGGTTAATTAAATTTCTAATTCCCAGTTTTGGAAGACGCAGCCAATCTCTGAAGTACATTGATCAAACATTGTAAAGAAAGAAAGTTTACCTCTGAGTCAAGCAGGTTCTCTTCCTCACTTGCTAGGAAGGTTATATCTTTAAGGAATTGCACCTGTAAGGAAAAGTTTGCTTATGTGCAACCTAGAGCAGTTGAACAGTGATTTAAAGACAAATGGGAGTGTATGAGATGAACCAATCAACAGCTGCTACACCCCAACAACTCCCTTTGACAAACTTGCGTCAGCTCTTTTTAAAAAAAGGGGAAAAAAAAAAAGAAAGGTAAATCAGTTTATTGGAGCACACTGAGGGCAAACATCTCAGTTACCAGAGCTATTTGCTCTCTGAGCTTAGCACTGTTACAAAACACTTGTCCACAGAGCGCTTCACCCAGGCTTGATCACACTTTCATTTCACAGTCTTGATTTTTGAATAATGCACATGCATTAAACTTGCAGTAGCGCAATAGTAATAAGCTTGGAAAAAAAGATCTGAGAAAAATACCTATGGGCTCCACACAGCTCTTATCTCTGTGACTACAGAGATACATCTTGCACCATCTATTTGGGCTTGATCAGAAGCATGTGCTTTCAAATGGACTAGTTGACCTGTGCCTTAGTTTGCCAGTTGAAATATTTACTGTAATTGGAATTATAGAGGTATATGTCGAGTAACAAATGTTATTCATTTAATGGCAATATAGGCCTGTGGAGAAGTATTTCATTACCTGTGACGTGCCTGTAATACTGTAGAATTTACCACCTTTTATCAATTACATAATGACCACAATTAAAAACCACAACCAACCCTCTAGCCCTCCCTCCCGTGTAGTCTTTGTGATTAAAGCCCTCAGACTGGCCTGACTGTGAAGGCTAGAAGGCAAGTGAGGGGATGTGATTTTTAATTATTAGAGTTTCCTGTGGAGTACTCAGACTGCTTTAGCTCAGGCTGAGTGACAACCCGTGTGAACCCAACCCTGATCCACTGTGACCAGGGCTTTTGCTTGCTTGCTGCCAGAACTGGCTGTCGTGTGCCAGTTTCAGAGTTCCCCCCTTCCAAAAAAATCTGAGTTCCAAGATAGACTCAGACAAATTGTTTAACAAAAATAAGCTCTGACTCCCTCAATTCTGCATTCTCATGAAAAGATGACTGATTGTAAGGCCCATCATGCCATATGATGCCAAAAGTAGTACAGTCCAAAGATTAAGAGGTGTCAGGTTTGGAGCTAGAGGTCCTATCTTGCTTTAAACCTAGCATATAGCTGGAAAAATGAACAAATTTTTGGGCTTAGACTGGTTGAAGGCACTTTGAATCTGAAAGCTCCCTGTGTTTTCCAGTGCATCACCTGGTTTAATGAGGGAAACAGGCTTTTCTTTTAAGGCATATGACAAAGAATAGGCATCCTTAAGGTATTAAAGCAGTTCTCATCAGCAGTTTAGCCCCAAATTGTCCTATGCCATTGCTGGTGAGGGAGCAGAGCTGCAGGAGGGGCTGGGGGAGGCAGCCCCGCTCTGCTTGAGCCTGTTTACTTTGCACACTTAGAGGGCTGTGGGTATGGGCAGCCTCCTTATTGCACCATTGCTCATGTGGATGTTTCATGCAACCACAGGGGACAGAAAAACATTTCTTTAAACAAAGGAAAATAAAGATTGCAAACCATAAAGAAAACAGCAGAGAGAGTTGGGGACAGATGTACTAACAAATCAGCAACAGCTGTGAAAATTACTTCTCATGCATTTTTTGAACCTGATAAAATAAGTAATAATCAAGATTATAGTTAATTTCCTTTTCAAATACCACAGATATCAATGTCTATGTCTGATACCCATCAAGCCTCAGCAGTGTGGCACAATTATCTCTGCAGCCTCATCAGGATACTTAGGTGGGTCTTTCCTCAGTGCATGGGGAGATGGAGTCATCAGGGTCAATGGTGCTCAGCAGTTCCCCTGTACCAGCACTTGCCCCAAAGATGCCAGGCACCATAAGGTGTACAAGCAGATGGGGCTGGCAGGAACCATCCACGTGGTCGTAGGCAATTTTTACTGCAGAGGAGCCAGCTGTATTAACATGGAGTTTCTTGACAGTGACAGTTCTTTCTGTCTATCCCTAACTAGAAAAGCACCTCTTAATTTTCATCAAGAAAGACTTCTTTCAGCAGAGCAAATGTCAGTGTCCAATCTTCACACATGGTAACCTTAGGACTGCAGAGTCCTTTCTGTCTTGTCTTCAGCTGGGCTGTGTTTGATTTCACTATTTGTAAAGAAAACTTTGTATATGCTAGCATTGCTTGAGATCATGTCAGAGTTCACAGAAAAAAAATAAAAATTTCTTTGTTTTCACAAAAGAACAGGATTAAATTCTTGATTAGAATGTTGGAAACAGCGAACAAAAGAAAACACAACCTTGTGATATCCATCACATTCATGCCTCTTTGTAGCTGGAACTAGCTTTCTGTGTGACGTATCTCTGCCACAGACATACTGCAGTCAGAGTAGCTCCTCTTACATTCAAAGAACGGCCAAGTGTGCTCTTGGCCACCTTTCCCCCTAAAACTACTAAATAAAGCTCTTCTGTGTTAATTTGTGGGATCATACTACAAGCTACAATACTAACCCTCAGTGCCTATGGAACAACCTGAAGCTCACCAGGGAACGTTTTCTCAGCTCAGAACCTGTTTACACTTTCTCGGGGGAAACCAGGTCAATTGCAATGAGAACTATGATATTTGGTAGATGTCATATTATACATTTCTCATCTGGTGCCTTTTGGCTACCTATCATCCCATAGAGACAACACCTGTTGCAGTAATACCTGCCACCGTTTACAGGAGAAATTTTCAGACGTGGTGCACCTGAGGACATAGGTCACGTTTCCTGCACAGAGAAGGTAGAAACAATCTTCTGTAGCTATAAGTGTGTTTCCAGAGTCTTCTAAAGTTGGAAGGGTGTTTCCAGAGTAGATGTTTTTGGCAAAACCTAGAGCTGTCAGTGATGGCAGTGCCATTAGAAAGGGCTCAGTGATCCTTGCATTCCAGGTATAACCTTCTAAATTTGCCACATGAACAAGTCCTGTTTTCTGAATGCTATAATGCTCTTTAGTGAGCAAAATCTAACAGCTGTTGCTCAGAGCCCTTGTCTGAGGCAAAGAGCATTAAAGGGCTGGTCTAGTTGTGTGAACTGGAGGTGCTGGCCCAGAGCTTGGTACTTCAGGTTCCCCAAACGTGGGGATCACTGGGGCACTGTTGGGCGAAGTCCAGCATGTTCTGCTGCCTGCCTCTGCCACAGCTGCTGTCCCCCACACTTGAGCTGGTGGTCACCCTCCGAGATCTGTGCTTGGGCAAGACAAGTCAGGGGTGTGCTGCTGTCCCTATGCTTACGTTGCTGTGCATAGAGTACACCAACATGCTGAAGATATTTTACCAAAATGCTAAGCACGCTTTTTTTCCTGTATTTTGGCCTTGTTTTTTGGAATGTGAGGTAATGTTAAATGTTCCATTAACATTTTCCTGTTTTATACAAGCAGGAAATATCATTCTCACCTATAAGCTAAAAAAAAAAAGGGAATATGCCTGTTTTGTGGTAATTGCTGCTCTCTGACTCATACTACCTTCTTCCTGATACAAGAGCCTTATGTCTGTCAGTGTTTGCTTCTTGCTCAAACACTATCTTCTGAAGTTGAAGGAGATTTTTTTGGAGCTCTGAGTTTAGTTTTCACTCTGTACTCATTGTCACTGTCACCGAGACAGTTAGTCTGTTGAGCAAAGCAAAGTGTATTTTGCAATTTTGTTTTTGTTGACTGCTCTACACCAGTACACTAGAAGTCAAAGGAATCCTGGCGATGATAAATGAACTGCATTCAAAGCACCTGACCTTACACACACATCTATACACAGGTCCAAATCCACACTTTAAAAGGGTTACAAAGATTTTTGCAGAGATCATTTCAGTATTATCAGACTCTTATTATGTTTTACCCTCAGAAATACCCATTACAAATAATTTTTTATTTCACATTTTTTTAGAGTTTAAGACCAAGATGGGCAATGTCAACTCCCGCATCTCAAACAACTTGCCTGAATTCTCACCCAGATCCTGCAAATGTAAGGTGCTGCATGATTTCAACAGGAAAAAATCACTTGAATTTTTCAAAATAGAAAAGTTTGGGAAAGCAGGGTTTGTTTAAGCTGGAGAATGGGAAGCTAAAGTGCAGCTAGAGAGCAAGCTATAGCTACTGGAAAGGTATTTACAAAAATGACAGGGGTAGACTCTTCTCAGTAGGGCCAGACAGGACAGACATGGGGTGGGAGCCACCAGAGCGTGGAAGGTTCACATTGGACATGAGGAGAATGGTAGTGCAACTCAGGAACAGGTTGCTGAGGGAGCAGAGGCTACAGCATCACTGCCCTTGAAGGTTTCTGAGATTTTGTAAGGCAAAGTCATGTCTGAGATGACCTGATGTTTGTGTCAGCCCCTCTTTGTGGAGGATGCCGGACCAGCTGCCCTCCAGCGGTCTCTTCCAACCAGTGTTTTGTTGAGTCTGTGAAACTGCTTAGTGCCACAGACAGGAACACAAGGATACCTCATTGCAGTCGACAGCTTCCTCATGAGGGGAAGAGGAGGGGCAGACACTGATCTCTTCTCTGTGATGACCAGTGATGGGACCTGAAGGAATGGCCTGAAGTTCTGTCAAGGGAGGTTTAGGGTGGATATTAGGAAAAGGTTCTTCACCCAGAGGGGGTTTGAGCACTGAAACAGGCTGCCCAAATAAGTGGTCACCAACCCTGACAGAGTTCAAGAAGCTTTTGGACGATATTCTCATGCCCATGGTGTGACTCTTGGGGATGGTCTTGTGCAGGGCCATGACTTGGACTTGATGATCCTCGTGGGTCCCTTCCAACTCATCATATGCTGTGATTCTGTGATTCTGTGATTCTGTGATATTAAAGATGCTTTCAAAAATACTGATGACAGAAATGCAATCAGGTGAGACACGGCCAGACATTAGGTAAACAACATTCCATGTGTCAGAAGCAAGTCAAAAAGAGGACTTAGTGAGGAATTCAATAGTCCATTGATTTCTTGAAGAGATTTGCTGGAGAAAGTAGAGAAGGTTTTGGCTTTAGAAATCTTTCTGTCTTCACACATACACTGTAAATACAT